AGTTCGGAATTTAAAAATAGTTAGTACCCGTTGTATCCCCAAACTGTATCACTCAAAACCACTATTTCGATCACTCCTGTGCCAGTGACCAGTGTTTGGGTGACCGGTCAGTGTTTTCAATGGGTCGGTGAGAGAAAAATTACGATAAAAATGCGGCTGTTTCCGGTCGGAAATTAAGCGATAAGCGGTCGATTAAAAGTGGGAAGTTGGGCGAAATGATTACTGTAGTTCAAGTGATATTAGCGTATTTCTAATTTAGTTTTTAACTCAAACAATATTTATTTACTCACTGTTTACTATAGCTAGAGCGCTGGACATGTCTTCATTTTCAAGTTAGTTTTTCTGCCGATTTCTCGCAACCAACAATGTGATTTTTTATTTGCGATTTCGAGAAACTTAACATGAATAGTTATGGCATTCATACACACAACACCTCGCCATGTTTCAACTTTTAAGTAGTCAGTTAACAAGGTATTTCATAGTAGCATTTCTATGGGATTGACATGGGTTCAATTATCAGTGTTCACTGATGACGTCATTTGACTGGCCCTCTAGAGGCGAAATGACGCCAGGAAAAGCGGACGTTTGTCGTCTGCTTCACAGCCAGTTTTATACCCGATATTTAGGGTATTTTGCAGCACATATAAGTTGTTTTTATTGACAGAATTCATTCATAGATCTCAAATTTCATGTACAGAGTGTCAAAAGCTACACCTCTGCTCCCCTTTAAAACACAAGCAGGAGAAATGTAGACAAAAGCACGTACATCCTACTATAGCAATGTATAGTTCATCTATTTTTGACTAAATTGCTCAAAATGTACCTTCATGTAATAAATGATAATAATTCAGCCTGTGCTGTCCCCGAAACAAGAAGCCAAAAGGCTGCTATGCCTGACCCGCTACGACGGGGGCCCTAACCTGAAGAGACCCTGCTCAAAAGATTGGGTGTCTCTTAGGTAGTAGTTGATAAAGACGCTCTGCGTTCTCCAGAAGCCTGCCTTCAGAATGTGTTCGAGGGGGGCTCTGACGCTAGCACTAGTGAGTTAGCAATTGCACGGACCTCATGCACTCGTACTTGATGGCCCTGCAAGGTCTGTGTTGTGGAGGATAACGTATTATAGATCTCCAGTACAGTCGCAGTAATCCACCTGGCGATGGAAATCAGGGAAGGCCGGCTTATCCTGTTTGCCAGGGCCGTAACACAAAAACATATGTTTGGTTCCCCCTCTCGAAAACCTAGTATGGTTCTCGTAGCAACTCAACGCTCAAACCGAGCAGAGAAGCAATTCTTTTGATCCTTCGGACCGACAATATTTGACAGCAGAGGGATGACGATCGGCTGAGGATAGTGTCCTGGAATTTGGTTTTTGGCAAGAAATCCGATTTGTGTCTTTAGCACAACTTGATCGTCCATAAAGGCGGCGCATCCATTCGCAAAGGACAGTGCGCCTAGCTCTGACCGGCGCCTACCTGAGGAGAGGGCCAGCAGAAAGACTGTTTTCCACATCAAAAACTTGAGTGGTGCTGAAAGAAGGAGCTCAAAGGGTGGTCGGCTTAGGGCTGACAACACAACTGACAGATCCCAGTTGGGCGGTTCCCTTGTACGGGTTCTCGGTCTCTGATTATGGAAAGCAGTAAACAGTCTTCCAATAATGGGACAATCGGCTAGACTTGACCCCAAAGAGTTTTCTATGGCGGGGGACAAAGCTGACCTGTAGCCAACGATCGCTGCGTAGGACAAACCTACTTCGTCAAATAGATGGACAAAGAAGTCTGCTACCTGGCCGATAGAGGGATGGCATGGATCAATCTCCCTTCCACTACACCAATTAGTGTATGCTCGCCATTTTGAGTTGTAGGCAGCATTGGTGGAATCCCTGTTCGCCCTGGCCAGGACGTTGGCAGCCCACTTAGATAAACCTTTCGTCTGCGTGAGTCTACTGAGAGCCTCCATGCGTGTAAGTGGTACACTGCTGGGCTTGTTGGTAGTGCGCCGTCTGGTTGGGACAGCAAGGTATGTCTGGAAGCACTACTGGTGTTTCGACTATCATTTCCAGCAGGAGCGGAAACCAGGCCTTGGTCGGCCAATTGGGTGCCACCAGAGTTAATATGCAGGTGGGCAGTTAGCTCCACATTTTATTCCAGGCACGAAAGGAGAATTTGCTCAGCTAGGTCCGACAACGATGGGGAACGCCTCCTTGTTGATGTAGGAGACCAATGCTGTATTGTCTGTGCGGAGCAGGACTCTGTGGTCTTGAACTTCGGGTAGAAAGCGTAGTAATGCTAGGCGTACTGCTTTCAGCTCGAGCCAGTTGATATGGCGGTCCTGAACCCACTGCAGGGGCCATATTCCTTGGGCTTGTTTGTCCAATAGATAGGTTGCAGGGCTCGAAATTAACGGTAGTCCCGAGTCCACAGACTACCAGTTTCTTTCTTGGGGCTACCACTTTTCAAATTCGGTAGCCCAATTGGCTACCAAACATCCGGGATCGTTATGACGTACTTGTGATACGATAAAGCTAACACGCAAATTACAAGTTTGCGACCACATGCGACTAGGACAAGTTTGCAACAAGTTAAGATTCACAGGTACTTGGGGAAACAGCCAATCAAATTGTCCCATGGTTCTAGTTGCTTCTGTTATTTTTGAATAAAAGTCTGTTGTTTTCTTTTAATGGCGACTTGTCCGCATCATTTTTGTACACAAATTATACAAAGAATGTTTCAAATTAGTTTATTGACGCCAGTTGTCTTCCTAGCCGGCAAAATAATTTGTTGTTTGCCAGTTCAAGTCAGTCGACGTCAAGATGAGTCTCCTGATTTTTTTTCGGAAACAGTCACCACAATCACCCACACAGTCGCATGACCAACACAAAAACGTTGACGAGGGACCAAATAAAAAGGCAAGGATAGAGCGAGTGCGAAAATGTCAAGGTTCTTGGAAAACTGGTCGAGACTGGCTGAAGTATGATGCCGCAAAAAATGGAACATCGGCATTCGCAAGCAATGGCGGTTGTACGAATTTTCGCATCGAATCATTGCGAAAACATGAATCAAGTAGTATTCATCGTAGAGCAGTACAGAAAGTTGTCATTGGAAAAAGCTCAAATCCTCGTCCACTTGTGAGTTGCGTGATGAACATGGATCAAACGCAGTACCAACGACTTCAAATAATATTTCATACCGCATATTACCTTGCAAAAAACGAGAAACCGTTTTCCGATTTTGCTGATCTTCCGACGCTTCAAGAAATCAACGGTGTTATCGAAACGACAAGCAGGCTGCTTCTTTTATTGGTTTTATTGGCGAGTCCATACGCCGTCATGTTGCCGACAGCATAAATGAAAGTGGACTGTACTCAGTATTGATTGATTCGTCAACAGACCGTGCTGTTGTGGAGGAAGAAATCATTTACGTCCATGTGTTAGAAGACTGCCGTCCAGTAACTAAGTCTCTCAGCCTGCAAGCAATGCCTCGAGGTACTGCGGAGTCCATAATTATGGCGATCGACGCAGGTTTTCACGTTGAAATGGGGTTAGGAAGAAACAAATGGCGGGAGAGACTGGTAGCTATGGCTTCCGATGGTGCGGCCGTCATGGTGGGGAATCGATCCTGGGTTATGACACGTATTCGCCAAGATGTGCCCCACCTCGTCAGTGTCCACTGTACAGCACCGTCTTGAACTGTGCCAGAAGACAGCTCTAAGGCAGTGTCGTAATTGTTCCTACACTGAAGATTTTTTAGTTCAAATTTTTAAATTTTATAATAATTCGCCACGTAATCTTGCAGCTTTGAGAAAGGCAGGTAACACTCTGGAGGTCGCTGTGTTGAAACCAACAAATGTAGTTGGGAACGCGATGGGTAGACCATCACAAGCGTGCGCTGGAGGCAATCGATCAAGACTGGAAGCCGCTTGTTACCCACCTAGAGGATATCGTAGTTTGTTTATATACAGCTTGATATTTATCGTGTTCTAAGTCACATGTCACTCTTATTCCAGCGAAATGACACTTCAATTGAAAGTGTAGTGTACGGACTTAAAACTACACTTGACAACTTGCAACTGTTAATTAATGAACTCGGCCCATCTGAAAGCATGTTTATTGACGAAACACTTAATGGCACTCGTTACATGTTTCGCTGCTCTCCACTCCATGATCCACCGAGGCGAGAAAATGGAAATGCAGAGGACGAGAAAACATCGCTAATCAATGCATGCAGAGATGAAATCACCACCCGGTTCCTATCATCTACTGAGGAACCAGTGCTTGCGTCAGCGGCAGTGTTTGATCCAACTAACTGGCCTCAACATCCAGACGAACTTCGAAATTATGGTCGAAATGAAATAACAACCATCCTGCGCCACTCTGAAGACTCTGAAGGATCGCCCGAGGTACCTAATGTATTCGACGCGGACGAACTGCCTTCTCTCAACTTATGTGTGCGAGAGCGTGTTCGAGAGTGCGTTTCATGACAGAATCGGTTCCCTCTGGGAAAGCCTGCCGGTCGGCGAGAAGGGAGTTGAAACCCACGACAGAGCTCGGACTTGAGAGTAAATTATTGAGTCCAGTTGAAAGTGAGGGGGAGGTACAATGTGTGCCCTGACCTGAAAACCCTGCCCCGAGATCTGAGCCTTGGGTACCAGCATCCCCATTGGTGCCACTAGCCTGAGCCTCTTGCTTGACGTCTCTGTACGAGTACCGGTAGCTGAGCATGAGGACTTCTCACTCATGCCAATGCACAACTAACTCTTACCGGTTAAACTTTTCGCTAGCGAGCGGCGCAGTCAGTCTCGGCAATCTTTACGCAATCCTGGAAAGAATCCCAGGCCCCAGAACTCCAATGATCACAAAAAATGCCCTCTGGACAAACGCCTGAACCCCGTACGCAACTAATACATCAGTAGCATTTAGCATGTGGGTTCCAATCTTGTATGTTCTGTGTACAATTATTGCAAACCCGCCTCAAAAACAGAGGGGATAAAACTGGTGGCGAGCTTCTGACGCTGCCAGTGCATCTATCCATTTCTAAATACATTGTAAATAAAAGATGACATGCATGAGGGAAACAAAATACAGTTGTAAAAGGTGCCACCGTGAAACCAACAGTAACCCACGATAGAAACCCATAGAGGAAAAAGCAAACGAGCCAGGCAGAGCCGCTCAGAATCATTCCCGACGAGGCGGAGATGAAAAAAGAATGATTGTACAGCCGTTAATGGCGCTGCCATTTGGCCTCGGTCATGTGGTTCGTGACGCTAGGGAAAGAAAATCTTAGGGTCATGGGGCTTCCCCTGACCTAGATTCTATCTCTCCGTCACCGGCAGAATTGCTGATTAATGCCTACAGTTCAAAATAGTCATTTTTACTGACCGGAGTCTATGGTGGGTAATTGAACGTAGTGAATTAACCAATCTTGCAGTCAGTTAACCTTTAACCTCTTCACATCCACTGGCTCACTCCCCCAAACACAGATACACAAAAGTATGCATTACCATATTTCCTCATCCTCTGTTTCCATGGTAATTTCTGCAAGATTTACACAATTAACAGCAGTCTGATTAGATCCAAAAATCGTTGAGTTGGAGTCATGAAATGGCAAGGAATAAATGACTGGTTCCTCAGTTACTGTAAATAGTAAAATATCTCCCAGTGGACTCCAGCAAGCTGACTGACACCGACCTGACAGGTTAGACCATCTTTCACATGACCATGTCTGGCTTTCCCAAACTCTGCAAGCAATGTAAGAAAAAGAAATTTAACTTAAAGTGTGCAATAAAAAGTATCCATCATCCAATGTTGAAACCTGTTTTATACATTCAATAAAAACAGATTGATGCAAACCTCAACAAAGCTACAAAACTAACATACAGACTAATTTGTAACGATGAATTAACAACAACATTTCGATGAGTAATTATTTCTCACCTGAAAACTGATGATGGTGTGGCAGCAAATACTTTACTACCGTCAGGCGACCACCTTAATAGTGACACGCCACCCCCACCAAGACGACGTAAAGGAACACAAGTTTCCATGGCAACATTCCAGACCTGCACAAGCATACATGATACATGAATAAAAGACTTGGATAACATACTCCAAATCATTGAAACTTTGAACGCAATTATTACTTAGCTGGTAGCTACATTTCAACAAATATTTTACTGGAGATCAAAGAATATATTTTAATTAAAGGTATACTGTAAAAAAATCTAAATTTCACTTCTCTAAAAAGTTTTATCACTTAATTATTTGGTAGATTTGTGTGATTCATTAGCTTCTGAAATTTTGAGACCAATGGTTTAAATTAAATTCTTATATACAAACTGTAGCTTTCATAGAGTTTAATTGAGTTTAATCATGGAAGGTACTAACGGAAGGAGCCACAACGCTATTGTTTTTAATTTAGCTTAGTCCCATGATCGTTTGTCAATGTTTGTTCGCAAACATTGGTTCTCGTTAGCTCTTAACACCTTCGTACAATGGGTTACGCTAGTCTCGAGCATTCGGTAATAGTCGAAGCATGTTCGGAAGGGATAGACGAACCTCGCATATACAATGCTGAAAATGGCGTCTAGTTTGAATGCTGTTGTTTCCAGAGATCTTGGTGAACTTTAATGAAAAATTGGCAGATATACATGTAACATCGATTGAAAAAGAACTGATGAACTATCGTGAATTATTTTATATTTGTAACAGTGATGAGACTTAATCAATGATTGCCTGTGATAATAACGACTGCATTATTCAATGGAACCATTGTCATTGCGTGGGTTCGACACCCGAAACTAGTGAAATTTTCGACCACCAGGCATCAGCGAACATCACCAGAAAAGATAGTATCAAAAGAAGGGCATGCCTAGACACTTTCCCTGTGATAATATTTTTTAGAAGTCCTTAGGAATTTTTGTTGTAGACACTCGAAATCTTGTTCTTGTTACAGTTGCTAATAACTAAATCATGTGAAATCTGTGAAGTCAAACATTCATCTGTTAAATTTCCGGTTGTGAAATACGTATTTTGACCTTTCACACCTAAACAAACCGAGTGCGCATGTGTGATGACCGTAGTTTCATAATGTGCATATATTTTATGGTCACATTTAAAAATCGGCGGGGTTGTATCATATTCTGCTAACTCGTTACTTGTGTAAACAATCGCAAACTATCATCGACATCAAAGATGAGCTAGACAATGTCCTCATCAGGATTAACTTGAGTTGAAACAAAAGAAAATAAGCCTGTTAACAAGCTTAAGTGGCCACTTGAGAGGCGTCGTGGCTCCTTCCGTTAGTACCTTCCATGGTTTAATGAAATTACATTATGATTACAATTTAATTTACAACCACGAATCACAATTCACAGTTTAGTGGTTGCCTGTGATACTAGCTTCGCACATCTTCCAAATATTGGTGATTACGAAAAACAATTTGCAGATAAATGTCATTATGGAAATTGCAGTATAAATTTATTCCCATTGATTTTGCTGATAAAGATGCACTTTTTAAAACATTAAACAAGTATTGAAAAGGAAACAGCTTTCATCTTGATAAATGTTTTTTCAAATTTTCACCTATCACAAGTGATTGTGTTATGACAGAAATGTTGCTTTCTGACAACAAATGATGTACCTACCATATATGTCACTTGATGTTTTGATAATCACCGATTTTTTGTCATAATTTCATTAGAATTTTGTCTTCTATACTGTAATACATGTCCATTTTTTTCATTATTTATACTAATCTTAGAATAACTTACAGAAGTAGTGTTAAACAGGGATTTTTTTTAAACAAGGGAACAGGGCCCTCATGCCATGGCCATGCAACCCTTTACCCTGGGGAGAAGATCCTTTGGCAACCATAAAATTCTGATTGACCAAGGATCACATGTGACCACAGTCTTCAACTGCGACCTGTCTGATAGTCATTTTGGCCCCAAAGAAGCCATAGAATGCTGCATTTCAACTTAGAATTATTAAAAACTTCACACCCTGGTAGGGAGAACCCCATGTCCCCCCCACTTGGTGGCGCCGCTGAATTGCAGTGCTCCCTCTTGCAGTTTTTTTTTTTAGAAAAACTCCTGGTTAAATATACAAATGTCCTAAACCTGACTTACCATCATAGCTGTATCAGTTGGTGAAGCTGAGAGAAGCAAATCACCACTAGGATGCCAACATATCTGGGTTACTGGACTATGACTCGTCTGACTTAATATCTGAACACTGCTACTGGATGGCCTACAAATTTAAACAATTTAACATTGAACTATCTTTAATCTGGCTCAGCTTGCTTTTAAAAGTTCTACATAAATTGTGCAAGAGATGTTTAACATTATAGTACACAGGTAAATAATACAAAGATTGAAATACTAAAAGTAAAATCAAGCAGCCTCTCGGCTAAGATAGCTCCGCTGTTAGCAATGAACATTTCAATTAAAGAATTGAAGATATCATCACAAAATGAACAAATCTGAGAGAGGTCCACCTGAGGTATCTATATGTATAATATCAAGCAAATGGAATTGTGTTTTTTAACGAGAAGTCGAAAATATCACTTTTTCCTAAAATTACAAAAATACTCACCAAAATTAGAGAATTGAAGATATCATCATGAAATGAACAAATTTAAGGTAGAGATGCAGTTTATTTGTGAATTTCAATCAAAAATAGTTTTTTTCGTTTTTTATATAAATTTTTATCTAAAGAACATTCTGTGAAAATTTGACCAATGAATTCTTATTGGAACACCATTAAAATTGCTGTTTATTTTCTGGTTAAAAATAAAAAACACTCACACGTGGCAATGTTTATGTCCAATTGCCTAATTTGCATGAGTAAGCAAATAACAGGACCTTTGATTGACAATATGCATATCGAGATTGTACGGGTCATAGTTCATTCAATTCACGCGCATGTGCAATTATTCTCGAATCAGTTATCGCTCGCTAGCAAACCAAACATTATATTTCCTCAGCGTTTTTTCCTAATTTTTA